AGGTAAACAACACAATGAAGCAATCAGAGGAGAGGTGGGCTGAGCATCTCCCACACAGCCCCTCCAGCAGGGCTGTGGCCACGCTCAGCCTGGCACCAGCTAGCAAGGACCGGATGGGTTTGATTGGCTTCGACATCTATTTCGCCCTGAAACAGTTAAATGCTAATGAGGGACTATTATTTTCTCTTTCAGAATGGCAGCAACTCTGTCCAAGGGGAATATTGTCTCTGATTTGTTATTTCAGCAAAACTGTGGCTTCTGCCTAGGACAAAAAGCATGTGAAAGCTCTTGGGAGCTGCAGATCTTATTCCAAGTGCTCCAGCACTGTCACTGATCCACACTGCTCTGAGCACATCATCACTGGCCAAGAGGAAGGAGGATGTGAGCATTAGAGAAGTGCTGTTGAGAATAAGCACCGAGCAAAACCCTTGAACATCACTTTGAAAAACATGAGGATATGGGTGGAGCCCCAAAACTCCAAGGAGAAATCCTTCCTGGCTCTGTAGCATCGTAGAGATCTCTAACAAACGTGGTCTAATGGCTCCACTCTGTGCCCTCCTGCGAGAGTCAGGGTAACATGTCTCATTTCAGGCATGAATTTAAGTTGCTGTCATAGTTTCTCAGAATTGAAGGTAAATAATGGGGGCCTGAGGTTTGAGAAAGCTTCAATCATCATGACTTCTATCAGTGGTGGTTGAACAACTTGATTGAGAATCTCATTTAAGCTCCCTAGGCAACAAGATGTTTACAATTAATGCTGAATTTTCTGGGTTTATGCCCTGAATAATTATGAATTAGGTTCACATGTGATTATTTGTCATGCTGGAGTACTTTTTATCCTGATTTGTTCAATTGCATTTCGTATTTCTCCTACATATCTCTTCACTGCCTCTGTTCTAGACGTGTGAGAACTACAAGAACTAGTAACAGACCTGGACAGGCTGTTTTGCTGCAGTTAGTTATGGAGATTTCCCTCAGGACTAGTTGTTTGCACACAGTTACTTTTAGTTAAAGCTGAGGAAATAATTAAACCAAATCCCCTGAGTGCCTTGGGAGAAAGTTCTGGTTGAAGTCATATTGAGGCAGTTTTCTCTAACAGGTTTTTTGGTTGTCTTCTTTTTTTAGGGCATGAAATGCCTGAGGAAAGACAAACAACAATGCCTGAGGAAAGATTTCAGCACTGCAAGAGTGGGGAATGATTGGAACAGGCTGCCCAGGGCAGTGGTGGAATCACCATCCCTGGAAGGGTTGAAACAACAAGGAGATGTGGCACTGGGTGATAAGGTTTAGGGGAATGGTGAGATTGGTTGAAGGGTGGACTTGGTCGCTGCCCAGGGCAGTGGTGGAATCACCATCCCTGGAAGGGTTGAAACAACAAGGAGATGTGGCACTGGGTGATAAGGTTTAGGGGAATGGTGAGATTGGATGAAGGGTGGACTTGGTCATCACAGGGTCAGTCAGGCTGGAAGGGACACAGTGGGTCACTGGTCCCACCTCCTGCTCCAGCAGGGCCAGCCCAGAGCTCATGGCTCAGGGCTGTGTCCAGAAGGGTCTGGAATATCTCCAGGGAGGAGAATCCACGACCTCTCTGGGCAATGTTCAGTGCTCAGGGACTGCACAGGAAAGAAGTTCTTCCTCGTGTTCAGGTGGAACTTCCTGGGCATCAGTTTGTGCTGCTCCCTCTTGTTTTATTGGCTTCCATCAGTGAGAAGGGTTTCACTCCATCCTCTTGGCTCCTCTTTAGATACTTGAATACATTGATGAGTTCCCTCTCAGTGTCTCTTCTCGACCTCACAGGGCTGAGCAGAGGGTCAGGATCACCTCCCTGAGCTGCTGGCAATATTGTTAATCTTGGAGACCTTTTCCAACCCTAATGACTCTGTGATTCTAAGTTGTGTAGAACCTGAAGACAAACCTTCCATGTCCTCCTCTCTTTCCAAGCTAACTCCCTTGCATGGTTCAAAGAGGAACTACCCCCTCAGCTTTCTGTGACCTGTTCAGGTAGAGCTGAAGGTGACCTGTGTTGGATGTCAACACTGAACTTGGAGCAGGGAAATCTGTGTGTGTGTCAGGTGGTGGCTCTAAGCCCCAAGCTGCCTGAGGCCCTTGGGACAGGCTGTGGCTTCACGAGCTGAGCTCTGGCACCAAAGCTTTGTGCCAAGGTGCAGCTCCAGCCCCTGCAAAACACATGAACTGTTCCAAACGTGCTGCTTGCAGGGTAGCAAGAGACCTGCAGCACTTAGAGGGAGCTTTCAACTTTATTTATGGCAAAGCAAACCTTCCCCAGGAAGCACAGATGCCACAGAAGTGCCATCCCCTGCATCCTGCTAATGCATTTCTGTGCTCTCACTGCTCTCTCTCCCTGATGCTGTCTCTCATTTTCAGCCTGTAGCTTTAATAATCTATGCCACTTCCTTCTGTGCAATATTCCTCCTGCAGCTTTCCTTTGACAGCTCTGTTTTTAATAGAGGATAAGCATGAAACTCCAGCTGAATCTGAAGACACATTTCTAATCTCATCCTGCATTTATTTTGCAACTCAGAGAACTCACTATCTTGAACAGAAGAAAAAGTATTTCTCACATATTAAGCTGACATGTACAATAGGTTTCTGGAGGTATCATTAATTCAAACTCAACCTCAGAGTGAGTTACCTTGTAGTAAAGAGACAAATACACATAAACCCTGTTACTGGGATAATAGGCTTGATTCAATTCTTTATCATGGTGATTGCAGTAACATGCCAAGTTTTCCAGGCTAGGGAAGAGTCAGGTACTGAGTGACAGTGTCATAATAACAACATGCCTGCCTGGCTTTAAGATATAGCCTGAAGGATCAGTTGAAACAAAGAACTAAATTGGATGGCAACAGGAAAAGAAGAAACAAGAAAATGTTAACTGTGAAATAAATGTTTCAAGGTAATTTGTTCCACTATTGTCATCAGGTCATTATGACATTTTCCTTGTACTCTGTTGGGTTTCTTTTTATTACAAGACAACTTAAAACTCACAGTTTCACAGCGATGCAGCTAAATTGAAGCATTTTCCTCTATGTTTGTGTTTGCCAGTGAAAATGACAACTTTGATTTGTCTGTCTCCTCTCGTCTCTATGGGAAGGGATGTAAATATCTGTCACCACTAATGAAAAGCTAATGTGCTGCTTGATTATGGGGTGTACTTAGCATTCTGTGGTTGCTCCTAGGAGCTGAGGACTGGAGCAGGTTGGCAGCTGTGGGTTTGAGTGCTGCTGGGGGCAAACCAGACCCAGCTTCATTGGGACTTGCTCCCCACAGGAGCTTTAGGCATGAAGCCCAAGTAAAGGAACTGGTGATATTTAGCCCATTTTGGCAGTTATATGCTGGCATGAGACTTCAGGCTCTTAGTGAGTTCAGGGCTTCAGAGCAAAGCTTCACCTGCACGGAGTGTTGCTGATGAACTGGTGTCTTAACAGCTGAAGGTACTTAATGCCCCTGACCAAATCCTTCTTTGGGCAGGTCCTCTGGCTGCCAAAGGCATCAGCTGCATCCAATTGAGGTGAGTGGTGCCCCGGGCAGGGCAGAGACCACCCCATTCCCTCAGCTTGGGCTGTGCAGGGCAGAGCCTGGACCTGCAGCTCCTCTGCCACTGGGAAAACTTCCAAAGGATCAATTTCCAGCCTAGGTGTCTGCAGGAGTTTGAATCAGGGAAGGATTAAGTCACCGATTAATATGATATGCTGAACAACCAGCAAGGTCTTCATTCTTCCACAGGTATTCCTGGTTTTCCTCCTTCTCCTTTTTCTAAACTTATATTTTTATCCCTCCTTTGTGCCTTAATTTAGGGATATTCCTTTTCTTTAGGTCTTTCCCCAGCTCCATTCCTGGCCTGCCCTGGTTCCTTGGGGACTGCAGATCTCATAGAAAATTTTGAGGTGGTTTCCTATTCCTCCTCCTTTCTAAACTGGGATTTCTTTCTGTCTCTAAACAACTTTTGCCTTCAGATCCTGAAATAATATCCCATACAGGAAGGCTGCCTTGAAAGGATGTTTTGGGCAAAGGAGGGGGGACAATAATGACAAAACTCTTCTGTCTTTGCCCAGCTCTGGGGAACTGGAGCTCTGGGGAAGGTTCAGGGTGGCACAGGATCCAGTGGGGACACCCTGCAGGCTCAGCTGAGCTGCAGGAGAGTCCCTGAGCCACCCTGAGCCCACGTCCCTCAGCCTGGGACTCGGGCAGAGCAGGCAGGACAATGAGCTCCTTTGCTGGGCACTGAAATGCCACACGGGGCTGGTTTAGACACAGGTTTTATTGAGCAGGTGAAGGCAGAGGCTTTGCTGGTGGCCCCAGACTGCTCAGAGCCTTGGGCTGCGCAGAGGGAAGGGCTGCAGGGAGGCTGAGCTGCTCGGTGGGATGTGGCTGCTCCTCTCCTCACAGAAGCTTGGGAAGGTGGTGAAGATGTGAAATGAGGAGCAAGGCTTAAATGAATTTCAGATGGTCTCAACACAGGTAACTTGCTGGACCCCACAGAGCTGCAGTGTGAAATGTCTCGGTGTGCTTTGCAGTTTTGGTCACTGCTGTGAGAAAAGGAGAGTTTCCTTGTTAATGTGGCAATTAGGGGCACAATGTTTTTAGGCTCTTAGCTGTAGCAAACTCGGAGCCTAACTTCATGCTCTTCCCCCCAGTTGTGACTGCAGGATAACAACAAAACCTGCCTTAAAAGGGTGTTAAAAAGTGGAAACACCTTTATTAAGTGGAATAATTGTGTACATCTCCCTTGACTTTCCATTTTCTGCTGTTTACCTTGCTCCTGAGGGTGACAACCATCAGTGCTGGTCTTGTCATTGATATTTACTAGGAATGACTTTCCTAGGAAGGATTATTTTTTAAGGCTAAGCCCTGCTGAAGTAAGCCAAACCTTCTGAACAGAATCACTGATGATCCTTTAATTACCCCAATAAATTACAGTTCATGTGCAGAATTAATAGGCAAATAATGCTCTAATAAATAGGAGCTTCCCAACTTACATGCAAATTGAAGCTTTGCCTTCCTGCTCACAATTGTTCCAAATGAATTTGTGGCCAAACACTGGTATGTTCCAATATCCTGATTTTTATGTGGGTTATTGATTGCCAAGCTGCCTCCAACCAACCTGTAGTGATAACTCATGGTAAGATCAATATCTGTGCCATTTTGCTTCCACCTTTGAGGGGAAAAAAATCAAATTATGCTTATAATTTACAGAGCCTATTCATATTTATCTCAAATAATGTGCTGTAGCATACCTGCAATGATAAAAATGTAGTTAGAGATCACAAAATCAGATCATTTCTCTCACAAAACTGCTTCTTACATCAATCTTAATGATAGCAATAATTGTATTCTCTGGAAAATCTTTACTGCTAGTCACAAGTGTTCACACAAATGTCCACAAAAAGTAATTATAACTTATTCACACAAACCAAGTTATCCATCCAGTTGGGAGTGGGGTATGATCCTTGACTACAACTACATTAGGTTTTATGATCTGAGTGTGTTTTACAGCCCTTGCAAATGATAAATCCTACATTTGGCTACCAGAATGATTTGGAGACACAGAGCAGGAAGGATTACACTTCAGAGGGCAGAACAAAAGCAGAGAGAGGTTTTCTCCAGCAAGTTTGAGCCTGATAATTTAATGATGAGAATGCTGCTATTTTAAAACCTCATTTGTCCTTCTTAGTCCACTAAGCAGAAAATGGATTGTGTCTGCAACATTACACAGCTGTTTACAAATGTCAAAAGCAAATTTCTTTCAAAGGAAAGAAATCTTCTGTGTTTCAAGGAGGGAAATGTTGTGGCTTTACCGTTAGTCACAGGAGGGTGGAACTTTCATTGCCCTCATGAGGAAGAAAAAGGGACTCGAGCTTTGGGCTTTTTAATGACACTTTTTAGGTTGTCAGCAAGCCTAAAGCCACACAACTGTGTGTTTTCTTCTCCTAGTCTTATCTCACAGCCATCTCCTCAGCCTGTAGCATTTCTGTCCACCCGTGTGGGCACAATGCTGACCTCTCCTAGGGGGCAAAGCCAACAGCTCCTGTGGTTTCTGCAGACCCCAAAACAAGGGCAATCATCTCCTGGTTAAGTATAATTAGCAGTAGAGGGTCACAGCATAAAATCTGGCTACTCTTGTTATTTGCAGAGTTCCTGACAGTGATGGCAGTTCACAAACCGAATTGAACTCACACCATGACCATTCCTGGAAGATCTGCCCTGGATATACAGACAATACTGGACTTCAGTCACCCACAGACCTCTCTCTGCACAGTTAAGCTGCTCAGGAGCTGCTTTCGAAGGAAGATATTCACACTGTGCTGTGAAATGGGCTCTGTGTTCCAAGGGAAATCTCCACAAATACATCCAGAGGCAGTGAGGATTCTTCCCTCTGAGTGGGCACTTGTGGCTTTGGAAACTAAGGACTGATTAAACAGGAAGTCAGTGAAGTTCTCTGGTCAAATTTGAGCCACATGAAATAATTTCTCTGGACCTTCTGACCAGTGCCTCCTTTCCCAGGAGTGCATCAACTCTGAGAATTTAGATGCAATTTCCACTGCTAACAAATTGAAGCAAACTTGCACCAGGACTGTATTCCTGGAAGATCTGCCCTGGATATACAGCACAGTACTGTACCTCAGTCACCCACAGACCTTTCTCTACATGGTCAGACTGCTCAGGAGTTGTTTTTGGAGGGATATTTTCACACTCTGCTGTGAAATGAACTCTGTGTTCTACAAGTACAAGTTCTGCCCTTCAAGTGGACACTCGTTGCTTTGGAAGCTAATGAATGTTTAAATATCAGAGAATCACAGAATTTTAGGAGTTGGAATGGGCCCTAGAGATACTCCAACCCCTGCCCTGGGCAGGAACACCTCCCACCAGATCAGGTTGCTCCAGGCCTCATCCAGCCCAGATTTGAAGTAAGGAGAACATGAAGACAAGGTAAGGAAAACCTTAGCTGGTTCCTATCCATGAGCACGTTTTGTGAAGGTTTTTCTGTCCTAGCATTGGGATTTTGCCCTGTTCCAGGGTTTCCATATGGTCCATGCTGTCTAAACCTTTCCATTTTCTGATCGAAGATATTCTGGTCTTTCCTTTGCCAGTTTTCTTTAATTTCAGAATCAATCACTGCAATAACTGCTGTCATCATTATAGGGCTCCCAATTAAGCTCTGTAATTGTTTTTCAAAACAAATGCAAAGATGTTGGCTTACTTGCTGCAAATGAATTCTTCACAGTAGCCCCATAATCATTCTAATCACCATGGTACAATGATTATTAAACTTTGCATATAGATCAGGGGTTCATCTCCTGGTGTGGGCATCTTCCTAATTAATATGTTTACAGCACTGGAGGAGGTGAATTAATGAATTCTTGTGGTAGACAATGGTTTCATGACTTTGTGCGTGCTAAAAGCAGAAATCTTTGAAGGATTGTTTTAGGGGATTTTAGCATCTTAAGGCTTTCCTAAACTACTTCCTGCAATGATTGGAAATACTCTGTGAACTGTAGGAATTTCATCTTGGACCAGTTGTTCCAGAAGCTAAACTTTAGGGGAAATGTGCTTTATTTGGGTACTGAATTCATAGATTGTGAAGGGTTTGGAATGGAGCTCAGAGCTCCTCCAGCCCCAGCCCCTGCCCTGGGCAGGGACACCTCCCAGCAGAGCAGGTTGCTCAAGGCTCATCCAACCTGGCTGTGAACACTGCCAGGGTTGGGGCAGCCACAGCCTCCCTGGGCACCCTGGCACAGGGGCTCACCACCACAACAGGCAAAACTTCTGCCTGATACCTAATCTAACGTTCCCTCTTTCAATTTGTGCCCATTGCTCCCTGCCCTGTCCCTGCAGTTCCTAAAACATTCCTTAGCTCCCCAGGAGCCCCAGGAATGTGAGTGGATTTATGCTCCCATGATTGAATAAATTCTCTCTCCAGTGTATTGCTATAACAAAAATATCTATTTTTTAAGGCTTCCTTGTGTTGTGTTTCCTAGATTATTTTCATTCCAGTAGAAATGTCCTGCCAAGCCACCTGAGGCTATTTGTAGTTGGGAAAACCAGTTGGAAAATGCCCCTTAATATACAGAATTTCCATAGGAGAAGACAATAGAGTTTCAAATGTGTTGACTGTGAACAAGACAACAGAGGGTGAAGGAGTTTTTAATCCCACTCCACTCTTGAGCAGAATCTGCACTAAGCCAAGGCTCAGCGTTTCAGGGAACAAGTGCATTACAGCAGAGCTACAATTTGTTTTTCAAGGGGATGAATAAGACAACTCTATTTTGGGGATTACTGGGATTCATTCTCCAATTTTATGCAATGATTATAAACATATTTGATGTCATTTGCAATCATTGCAGGCTTTGGGCTTCTTTTCCTCCCACTTTCATTTGTCTGTTGCAGTTATTTTCTGTGGTGCTTTGATTTGGATTGAATTTGAATCTCTTTATCTTATTTTAGTGTGTGACTGAGACTGAAATATTGAACTATGATTCTAATGAATACTGCTCATGCTGCCCTTAGATTCTGGTTTAGTGGCTCAATTGGCTCTGTGAAGATTATTGAGGGGAAAACAGCCTCAATTTCTGTCTTGACTGAAAAGTCAAGACTGTGTTTATTCTGGATGCAGAATGTAAGTGCAGGGAAGGACTTGGAGCAGCTGAGACCTAACCCAAAATGTTCCAGAACGGTGACAACCTTTGGTGTGTGCAGGGAGAGGCTGTGAGGAGCCAAAACAAGTCAGACTCGTGACTTGAGCTGGCTGGGGATGAACCCTCCATCCACTGCAACAAAAGCAGCTGAAGTGCCAAGAGCTGTAAATCTCCTCTGAAAAGTTGTATTTATTTACCACCTCACCCAGGGAAGCAGCTGGAATAATGTGCTTCAGGTAGAAACGAGTGTGACTTGCTGACAGAGGCATAATAGGTCAAATGGTATTGATCAGGGAATTTCTCTGTGTCTCCTAACATGCTGATTTTAGAGCTACTTCTAGGCAGATTTTGGGTTCCACTGTACTCACATTCCAACAGGAAACCAGAGTTATTATTACTTAGCCCTTCTGACTCCTTCACTTCTACCCAATTCTGACATTGTGGTTGTTAGACACACAATATTTAGCCATAAAGTTCCAAAAATTAGTACTGCATTTGATAGGTCTATAAGAATGATATAATAAAATAGAATAATATCATAGATATACAATAATAAAGATAAATGCATATTATATATAACTATAATAAACCAAACATTTTGGATATGCTAAGCATTTTTTCTTTTAAGTAGAGGTGTTCATCAGCAATTTCTTTATATAAAAAATGCTAAATAGCAACTTTGCTTGAATAGGACTTTGTTCCTGTCGTGGTGGCTGTCTCTGAACCAAAGAGAAACCTCTCAGCAATCCTTCCTGTTCTTTGCCTCTGCTCAGCAGAGGATGTGGTTGTGTGCACAGATACATAGGCACAGGGTTAGAGTATTGATACTGGGCTCGATTTGTCCAAACTTGTTAGAACCTTCAGTCTATGGGTTCTGTCCTCAGCTGGCAGAAGTGAGATTGGCTCTGGTGAAATCAGTGCTGGAGTCTCCCTGTTCCTTTCCAGCCATGAGGCAATAGCAGCAGTGAGAGTCTGATACCTCCTAGGTGACCTGTGTGGTTCAGGGTCCATCCCCAGGTGTTGATCTTGGCTCACTGGAGCAACTGAGGCTTTGCAAAATGTCCTTATAGTGCACAGAAGGTAATGAATCTAATGAATGGATGGGCAGGAAAGAATGAAAGGTAAAATCTGGACCTCAGCTCTGTGGGAGGAGAATTCATAGCTCTCTGCCTGGTCAGACCTGCTGTCTGTGCTCGGTGAGCAGCCCATGGGCAGAACACAAGAGTCACCAGTGTCTCTAGGCCTCTGAGGAAATGCATAAACAGAGGTGAAGCAAATGGATAGATGAACTTGGAACTCATGACATGAACCAGTAGATGTTTGTGTTGAAAACAGGAAGGACCAGTGGGATGGGAAATGGGGGAGGATTTCCACTCATGGAATTGTGTCTCTGGCAGTCAGTGCTCAGGAGATCAGCACACAAGGCACAGGAGCCAAGCTGCTCTCTGGTACTGCTGCTTGCCCAAGGAGCAGCTAAAAGCTTTCAACAGCTACTGAGTGTTTGCTAGGACACAATTTGCTTTCATGTCCTGCACGAATGATTCCTCTTGTTATAACTTTCCATTTCCCAGACCATTAATCCCCCCCATATTTTCTGAGGAAAGCACAATGTCATTTCTTTCCCAGATTCCCAACTTTTATCTGAGTCAGGTTTCCAGATCCCTAGTGCAACAAGTTGTGAGTCCCCAGTTATTGACTCTCCCAACAATGTGTTTCTCAAGGTTTTCTGGAATGGGTCTGTGTTGTGAGGCAGGTGCTGCAGCTGGGCCTTGCTGCTTCTCTAAACAAACACTACCAGTATGGACATGAAATGTTAGAATTGGAAATGGAGAAGGATATTCCTCTTCTCTTTCCAACAATTCATTGATGTATGGAAAGTTCTATCAAACACATATGCACAACACTTCCATTTTTCCATTTTTCACAGCTGTTCTGTGGATTCAGTATTAATTTGGCATATTTTAAAGCACTTTGGGGATGATTTTCAATGATGAGTTTTCTTTTCCTGCGTTAATTTTAGCAGCAAAGTAGCAAAAATATTTTCCCTTCATTCCTCAGATTTACTATATCTATGCAGCCTCTTGGTGTGAGCTCTCAACACATTGTGAGGTCTGTATGATAGTTTACTGCTGACTAAACACACTTCAAACCTCTGCAGTGAGACAATACTTCTCCAAAGTTGACTTCACCTGTAGTATGGCAGTGGATATCCTTTGGCTGTACAGTTTAGCAGGACTTCTGGATTTACAGAGTCCATGGAATAAGTGACATCATGTGGCTCTTGGACAAAAATTGGGCCATGAAGAATTTCTTCCCCTGCGAAAGAAAAAACAGGAATTTCAGATCCGATGTCTATAGTGTGTCCTTACACATAAAATTGTCCTTTGGAGCCCTTTGCTTTCAGTGAGAAGTGAAGGTCTGCTGTGATACTCAGCAGAGAATGCTCCTCCAGACATTTGACTATTAAGGAGGAAATATTTCAAGCCTGAGTGATAATAAAATCACAGATCCCAAGTGTTGGTGATTTATTCTGCAGGTGACAGTGAAGATTTGTCTCTTTGCATATTTCCTATGGAAGTTCTATGGCCTAGAGTGAAATGTCCTCAGCTCCCTCAGACTTGTGCTCTGGGGAATGTCTGGCACAGGACAGGGTGGAGTTGTGGTTCGTGAGTTTGCTGCTCCCTGGTCACCTCCTGAAGGGGCTTTGTCAGCCTCATGCCACCCTCTGGGAGAGAGACAGCCAAACTCTGGCAGCACCAACCTTCAGCTGTGGTCTGTGAGGGTGCAGACCATGGCAAAGGGACAGGGAGGACCTCTGCCAGCCCAGCCAGTGCCTTCTGGATTGGGAAGCACATGGTGCTGGGGAGGTTGTCCTGGGCCTCTTTCTGGTGATAGGATCCAGAGGGTCACATCAGAGCCTAAGGGATCAATCACCTCTTTTCCTCTAACCCTTCGCACCCTTTGATGTGTTGCTTTCGTGTCAGGGTTTGGTTTGGGTTTGTCTGTGTGGTTTTTGGTTGGTTGCTCTATCATAGCACTTTAGGGGTTGGGATGGAGCTCAGAGCTCCTCCAGCCCCAGCCCCTGCCCTGGGCAGGGACACCTCCCAGCAGAGCAGGTTGCTCAAGGCTCATCCAACCTGGCTGTGAACACTGCCAGGGTTGGGGCAGCCACTACTTCTACTTTTTGTTTGTTTGTTGGGTTTGGGGCTTTTTCCCTCCCTTGTTCGTGTCTTTTTAAAACGGAAGTAACATGAAACAATCCACCTTTATTTCATACTTTCAGAATTAGCTGACTGATTGTAAAGTAAACCAGAACTATTTGTATTTTTCATGGTAGTTTTTCTCGTGGGGAGTAGGGGAGAAGGCAGTTTGTTCAGCAAACCATGGGGGCAAGGCAGAGCAGTTCTGTCTCTGAGAGGTGTGGCTGATGATGGTGAAATAATCTTTGTTTCTTCTCCTGCTGCTCCTCTGGTTTTAATCCCTTGACAAATCTGAAAACTTCTTTTTTCACTGTTTCTACAATTGACCCCTTGACTTGTCTTTCCTTTGGTAGGCATTTCTTCCCTGCTGCCTTAATTTCCTCAGTCCTTCTTGTTACCTTCAAGAGCTGCCAGGGAAAACTTTTCTGAAGCACCAAAATGCTCCAGGGCTCACTGTTCCCTGTCTCAAGTCAGTGTATCTGGGTGAGCCAGTGGGGACCTACCTGCTGTGCATAAAGATCTCTAATTCATCTCATAGAAATGTAAATATTTTGGCAAATCTGCAATTAATTTCCTGTGATTAAGCCTAATGGAATTTAGACTCATTTGTCATTTGCAGAGGGTTGAACATCTTAATTCTTGTCCCTTTTGTTAGTGTCCTGAATGCAGCAGAGCCTTAATGTGTGGAGTAAGGACTCAGTATGTACATTACCAGCTCCTTTTCAGTGGGCACATCACAGTCTCTACCACAAAAGTATTGGCCATGAATTTGACTAAAGATGACTTCTTGCTATCAGTTTGTTTTCTCTTTAATATCCTTTTCTTGCTGCCTGATCTGCAGCAGAGAATAGCCCCAAAGTTGTGAGAAATGATGTGCATTTTCAGAGCCAATGGTGGCCTAGGAGTGCATCTCTTATTTATAGCTAAGGTCAGAGTGGTCATTTCTAATTTCCTGCTGCATCCTTTTGTGTTTCCTATAGAGAGTGGTCATACATTCCTCCTCCATTCTCCACATTCAATGCACTCACCCTGATTTCTCCAGAGATACCTATGACAAATGAATCCTTGTAGCACTGTTAGCCTTTGTTAAGACTTAAATAATTCAGATTTTTTATATCTATTGAAATATGAATATTTGATTAAATGTAGCATTTTTCTCCATAAAATTCATGTGAGTCCTTAGCCTGGTGCGTGGAGGCAAATCTAAACTCTTGTTATGAAATGTTTTAGGAGTTAAAATACATTTCTTGATGATGCCAAATCAGTTTGATCTCCATAAAGACCATAATTATGCCAGTCTGAATTCAAAGCTAAGGGAGGAAAATGAATCAACATTCCTTTCTTCATTAGAGGCTATTGTCTGCAGCCAATGCAGAGGTTAGCAGAGTGCAGTGGAGAGCAGGAGCCCTGGCCTTACCCCTCAGTGTACATCAGCAGGAGCTCTCAGGGCTTCCCTGGCTGCTCAGGGGCAATGCTGAGCCTCCTCGGGCTGTGATGCCCATGGCAACTGGAACCAGAGAGGGTTTGGTTAGTCACAACAAATGTTTAGATGTTTTTGCACTGCCTCGTCCAGACAAGGAGGATGGAGCACAGAGCTGGAGCCCACACTTAATCAACTTAATTTCCAGCCAAATCCTGCTCCCAGTTTTTGTCTGCTGTCTGGTTGGCTTCACACCCAGCTCCTTCAGAGGTATCTGCCCAGCTGGAGACTCAGGGTAGTTTCTCCAGCCTGAGAGCAATTCAGGCCCAGCCCTAGTCTGTGGTGTGTGTACAGATAACTTAGCAGACCAGTGTTGCAAACCAGTTCCCTTGTCTTTTATCCCTTTCCTACCACAGATTGGCCTTTCTGTTATGACTAGATTTTGCAGAGAGGAATTGTAATTACCACTACTCAAAACTGATCAGTAATATCAGATAAATTAATTTTGAACCTGAGAAGGTCCTGGAAGCATCATGAGAGAGGCTTTGGGTTTGTCTGACTGAGTCAGCTCCAAGTAGCCAGACTCAAGAGGATTCATTGCTCCAGGCCCAGAAATGGACAGTTCTCCAGAGTCTGCAGGATTTGCAGGTCCTGTGATCATTTCTCTTGCCATGACTCTTTGTGAAGCTGCTCAAGGAAGAGAAGCCCTTGGGGCTGTGGAATAAGGAGCTAGAGGTCTTGCAGTGGAGAATCTCAAACTGGTGATATGTTAGGGCTGTTCTGGGCTCAGCAGTAGGCACAGAGGGGTCAAACCTCTGACTGGGTGATCCTCAGGGGTCCTTTCCAGCTCTGTTTGTGGTGAGGAGCTGAGGCTCTGGCACAGGGTGCCCAGAGCAGCTGTGGCTGCTCCATCCCTGGAGTGTTCCAGGTTGGATGGGGCTGGAGCAGCCTGGGCTGGGGGAAGGTGTCCCTGCCCAGGGCAGGGTGGGATGGGATGAGCTTTAGGGTTTCAACCCTAATCATACCATGATTCTATGATTCTATATGTACTACATCAGTGAATCCTAAGGGAAGCTGATAAAGAGCCCAGAATAAGGGTGAAACCCATACACTAAAAAAGCTGCTACATGCAAAACTGCTATAATTCACATAAGCAAACCAGATAAGGAGGAATTCATTCAGGCCATTAAGTTCCAGGAAGGCTGTAAATTCCAGGGGTAGTGAGTTTCTAATGAGTCTTTCTTAATGTGCCTTAGACAGAGCTTCATATCTGATCCAAAACATTAATATGACTTTATGGGCCAAAGCTGACACCTGATTAAGAGGCTCCTTTTAAATCAGCTTCAGAGTAAAACACCTGCCAGTTCTAACAGAAAGGATGGGACAGGTGAGTTAGGCATTTCCTCCTTCTTGTGACAGCAGAAAAATTAGGAGAATTCCAAATTGCCTCCAAATCTGTTTCATTTTCTTCACAGTTGAAGACATGGGTAATTTTTAATTGGGATGGGGCAGTTTATGGGGTCCATAGAATTTCAAGTGCCAGGGAAATTTTCCCTGCAAATAGCATTGAGGGTTTTGATTGAATCTTGTCAGGAGCAGAATGGCATGATGATTTCCCTCATCAAAGCCTGGAGCAGGTAACTCAAGGACTCCAAAAGGAGCATGACAGATGCAGAACGAGAGGTAGTGGATGATCCAGTGTTTGCTAACACATAAAGTAACACACAGGAGCTCAAGGAATCAGGTGGTAATGCTGAAGGAGAAGGTGAAGGGAAATTAAGAAGCAGAGAAGGGCCATAGAAGTGTTCTGTGAGAAGCAAAACAACCTGTCAGTACCACAGGCAGCATGAGGAAGGCTTCCCTCCTCTCCCCCTGGCTGATATCCTCATCAGAGGGTGAAGCAGCAGAGGAAAGGAGGTTGGATCTTACAGGTTTGAGCTGGCAGGAGCAACCGAAAACCTGTAGGATTTTCCCACAGGACCTTCAACTTTCATGTGTTTTCTCCCTTCAGACACTGCTGCACAGAGCTCCAGGCACACTGAGCTCCTTGCCAGCTTCAGCTTCACTGGAAGAGTCAGCGTGGCAGGAGTGGTGAGATTCCACCTCTCCCCTGCCACCAGCCCCAGAGCAGCAGACTGTGGCTCCTGTGCTGGGGGGAGAGGGGCAGGGGTTGATGAGGTGTGTGGGGTGCAGCCCTGGCACTGCTGAAGGCAGGGGAGCTCTGGTGGTCTGAAGGGATGATTTGAAGGGATGGTTTGGAGTTTGGCACTCAGGCCCAGGGTTTACCAATGACACCAGCTGAAAATGACATCCAGGAGTGCGAGGCATCCCTTCCACAAGATCCCAGAGCCATTCGAGTTGGGAATAGCACAGAAATGTTTGATGTCTTGGATGAAAATGATTGTGTATCCCTTCGATTCTATTCCTTGAAAAATTAAGCATTATCCCAGCATTTTTCCCTTTTATTTAAACAGAAGCTGCAGGGGCTGCAGGTAGGGTGAGCTGAGGCTGTGGTGGCAAACAGCATGTTCAGGTTGTGTCCTGACTCCACATTTCCTGAGGCACTTGGATGTGAAAGCAAACAATAAACCTATAAAATGTGGCTGCAATTACTGATCTAACCAGCCATCAGGATCTAGCATGTAAAATTAGGCTGTAATATGTCACAGGTGAAAATTAAGGAAGGAT